CGGCACGGTGGCCCACGTGCTCTCCCGCCTCGTGCAGTACACGCCGCTGAACAAGTCGCGCCGTGGCAAACCAAACATGACGTTCACGGGCGAAGAGGTCGTGCGCTGCCTCCGCGAGCACATGTATGCGTACGAAGACGAGGAGGCGGTCCGCGTTGGCAACGCACTCATGGACGCCGGGTGTCTCCACCACGTGACGCACACCAAGGCGTTCGAGAACTCGGTCGCGAGCTACTTTTTCGACGAGGCGCAGATCGACCTCGTGCAGCCATTGCCGCGCGACCAGCGCGAGACCAAGACGTCGTCGTCCAACGATGACAGCGTGCCCGTCATTTACGTCTCGCAAGCGACGAGCTCCGAGCCGCACGAGGCGTCGTCCGAACGGCTGCTGCACAACGGCCATTGTGGCTGCAAGAAGCTCGCGCAAGGCTTCGAGGCCAAGCCCAAGGCCCATAAGCACAAGCTCTTTCGACGCAACAAAAAGGCCCTCGACGCCACCAACCTCCTCACGGTGAATCTGCTCAACGACATGGCACCCGACGAGTTTACAGGATTTGCGACCACCGAAACCATCCTGTCCGAGCCGAGCCGAAACGCTGGCCCGGTGCTGACCGCCTAACCACCTCATTCTGTGTGTACGCACTATATATAACTTGTACTACTCAATGTCGTCTTCGATGTCACACTTTTCTTCGCATTCGCACACATATCGCAGCCACAATGTACGAAGCTGGGATCCCGAGTTTAAGAGCGTTGCGCTCTTGGTTCAAACGTTAAGCTTCGCCTCGTACCGTCAACGACGCTGGCACGTGCGGTGTGGAGGTGAGGCAGTGGGGCACGGACAGCTATCGTCTCAGCCTCGCTCCACGGATGGTATTTTCATTTCCCCCTTTTGCCGCCTGGACGACACGACGAGATGAACGAAAGCGTATGGACAAAGCCCTTTGACGTGTCTTCCAGAACGTCCAACTCCAAGTCGCCGTGTTGTATACGCTCATGCTAATACTGCTGTCGGGCGGGCCTCCTTGTCTACTTGCGTCTCGCGTGGGCCAGTGCGAATGGTGCTCTTGGGTCGTTAATGGAGAAGACTGCGTCCCAATGTCGTCGCGGTTGTGGGCGTACGAGATGGGCACGGGACCTCGTTGAGCTTTTGCGAGAGCCCGGATTGGCTGATGGCAAAGATATATATGCCCGAGCGCCTTTGTGCACGGGCAGCAGCAGCGCGGGCACGGTGCCCCACAGCGTGGCACTATGCCGTCCACGGCCCCGTACGCTTCGTTTCGGATGACGCCAATGACCGCCTTGGTCATCGCCGAGCTACACTCCATCGACGGACGCAACTCTGAGGCCATTGCACAAGGTCGCCGAAGAAAAGCTTGCGGCACACTGATTGCGTTGCGTCCTGGGTTGTCGTGAGAGCAAACGCCGATGGCCCTTGGTCGTCGCAGTGTTAATCCCCTGGGAGGCTGGTATGCCGTTAACGTTCCTAACAGGATAATACAACATCAATTTGAACCCAACCTCCCAACTGCTGGGTTTATTAAGAGCATCGTCATGGACAGCACTGTCATGGACTACTTACTTCATTGAACACGGCGGCCTTCGACATCGCTGTCGCTGGAGACCAAGTCTACCAGCATTCTGCCAGGCATGCTTCAATGATCGGGCAAGTTCGGGTCAGCGCCACAATCCGACACAACGCCAGTCGACTGGCTTGAAAGATATTATCTTTCAAGTCTGACAGTACGGTACTACAATACTAGTAATAGTACCGGTCATGGTGGGGTTCAAAATGATCGACAGGGGTACACAAGATCAATCCGTAAAATAACGAGAGGACTCATTTCAACAACAACAGGGGTACACAAGCCGAAGGAAGAGGAGTACGTTGCTGCACCACAGCGCACTAATAATGCGGGTAGCTTTATCGAATTCAATGAGCTTGCGGATGTAATTTTGTGCACAGCTTGTCGGCAGAGATCGGGCCGCCATGAACAGGCCGATCTTGACAATGCTACTCGAAGTTCGAAGTTGGCCTCATGGCCTGCTTTTCCGTAGTTCGAAGACAAAGGGCGGGCTTGCATGAAATATCTAATGGCTCATCATTCCCAATCCTTCCTTCTCTCCCGCATGACGACCTCGCCCAAGGTAGACGTCGGCCTCAAGAAGACCTTGGAGGGCGCAGTCGAGGCTTCCTACCACCTCCAGGCTGCCATCCGCGCCGACGACCAGGACGAAATCAAGCTCGCGGCTTCTCGCCTCAACGCGCTCGTCAAGGAGATGGGTCTCATGCAGTGGATCGTGGACGCCAAGAAGCTCCGCGATACGACGACGCTGCTCACGCGCCTCCCCGTCCTCGACAAAATGCTCGCGCAGACGAGCTTCGCGGTTTCGAACATGTCCCCTGCGCCGACGGACGACCAAGTCGTGGCCCGTGCAAGCGGTGGGTCGGCGCTTGTCGGCCATTGCTTTGGGTTTGCAAGCTCCTCCAAGGTCGCCGAAATGACGATCTTGCAGCCACCAACCAAGTGCCACTTGGAAGCGCCTACCCTCGACACGGAAATCCAAGATGCGTGGTTTAACGATGTGACCGCCGTGGCATCTTTCCGAGCGGCAATGACCACGTCGGGCCGAACAGCGGTCGCCGACTCGACGGCGTATCACGGCGACACGCTTCCTCCGCACTGCGCTTCCGTTGCACATTTGACCTACGCGTTCGTGCCGATGAAGTCGTTTTGCTTGGACGCGGCCGACATGGTGCTCTCGGAGAAGGCGCTCGCCGACGCGGCTGCCGTGACGAGCGTCGAGGCGGCCATGGACTTTTTGAGCGACTATGGGTCGCACGTGCACACCGGCGTCTTTCACGTCGGCGGTATCTTGTGGAAGACGGTGCACGTCAAGGCGGCGTCAAAAGCGGCTGTCCATATCATGAAGGCCGCCTGCCCGAATCCGGCGACCCGCGACCTCTCTATCAGCTACAGCGAGTTTACGTTCCTGCGTGGCCTCGACACGGTCGAAAGCACCCTCTTTGATGCAGACAAGA